AAATATACATCTAATGATAATTTGTTATATTTTATTATAATTAATGATGAGTTTATACAGACCTGTTATGAGTGTTTTGATTATAATTTTCATTTCTGAACACTGTTTCCATTATTTCTCTTTAATTGATGTAAAACTTGTTATTAAAAGTGTTTGCATTTACAGCCGGCGAGGACGACACCGATCGTTCAAAAGTCAGCGGAGAGGCGGACGCCAATGAACACTCCGCCGACGGGTGCACAGGTATGTCATGTGATTTGGTTTTGAATGACTCGTAGGTAACGTATTGTTGAACTGACAGATCGATAGCGCGAAGAACAGTCCCGGAGGAGAAGGAGTTTTGCAGACGTTTTTCAATAGTCTATTAAGTCGTAAATCTGGTGGCTCTCCAGGTATGGGATCTCCGCGAACGCCAAACACGATGGCCGACAACCTGACGGCCGCCAACGTTCACGCGGAGTTGGACCGTATGATCGGCAGTAATAGGATTGCCAGCAATAGCTCGACGCCAATTCTCCAGGTATGGGATCTCCGCGAACGCCAAACACGATGGCCGACAACCTGACGGCCGCCAACGTTCACGCGGAGTTGGACCGTATGATCGGCAGTAATAGGATTGCCAGCAATAGCTCGACGCCAACGCATAACCTAAACGTCTCCACGTCTTCAGAGCAATGATTTTTCATGAAATGTTAGGTTTTGATAATTATATAAATATATATATATTTGTAAATAAAAGTAATTTAAAACTAACTTAAATCATGCAAAACAAGACTGCATTGCATCGCAATTCATGTTTTGTTGAAGACTTGTATTAATAGGAAAAATGAAATTATTTTCGTTATGAATAATTGTTGCAACTATTTCTCAAGTGTATAATTCTTATTTCATTTTAATTTATTTAAATGTTTTTAATAGCCCTTTCTATTCTAATCTATTGTTTTTATTATTACTTAGACTACAAATGAAATCAAAAACTATAGCAAAAATTTTTGTTCACAACACTTAATTTTTAAACGCTTGGCCTACAGCTATTTATTGATAAAATTAAATATGGTTTTTATAGATATTTTTAATATAGCCATTGATTAAAATTGTCAAAAGAAATGCTTTTTAATGATTGTGTCACTCATTCCATGGCAATACCATTCACATGACCACAACTGGATATATATTAGGTTTCGTCAAAAGTTTTGCGAGGTAGATTTTGCAGCTTAAAAATTAAATTCTCAACAACCAATATAGGTATCAAAAATATTTTTGAACCTTAACTATGGTTTTTGCTTTTATGTATTCTCCCAAAGAGACTACTTGATTAGAGCACCGGTAGCTCGGCACAGGTAGCTTTTAT